GCTTCGACTTCTCTAGGTTGTACCAATCCCTGTTCATTGTCAAATAAAGCTTATTAGGTGCAAGAACATCAACTGAACAAAAAGAAAATTTCACTCCTCAGTTTTTTCCTTCCAAGGCTGGCTGGCAGATAACCAGAATGATTATAAATAATGTCAAAACCTATAGTGACTGATAGCTTTATACAAATGTATTGAGGTTTACTTACACAAGAAGAACTAAGAATTAGTAGTTGATTCAGTACTTTTAATAAAAGAATAAGTTTTACAGGTCTAGGGGCTTTTATGTCATTTTAGTCTTGTATCTGTTGCAAAAGTATAGATAGACCTGAAGTTAGTTAGAAGGTAGCTTTTGATTGTTTGGGAATTCATTTCCTGATTTGTAATCATTCAGCGATAACCAAATCTATCGTGCCCTAATTCGTGAGTATCAGGTCTAGATTGTAACATGTTATCAAGCTCCACCGTCCATGGTTACATAAAACCAAGGAAGCTGAAGCTGTCTTCAGAAACGTAATAGAAGCAATGAACGATGAGAGGTCAAATAGCCGAGGTAGTTAGGCTATGATAGGTGAAAGCATCAGCCGCTATAAGAATTTAGGAACTTAGAGTGACATTTATCACATATATGAATGACATTCACAATGATTTCAATGATCTTCATCTATGCTGTTAGAAACTTAGGATCTGTGTTTAAGTTGTTTTAAGTTTTAACAAAAACTGACAATGGATTTTGCTAGCTGCTACCAGACAAAGCACTTCAAATGTTGATCAACTTTTGGTGGCTTGATATGCGATGGACAAAGACAGGGAACATAGTTCCTACTTCCTAATTCCTATAAAAGTAAGCAGAAGCTGACAAACTGCTTTGGAAGTGTACTGTGGTGTAACTGGAAAAAACAAAAAAACAAAAAAACATCTTTTGTCCTGAATCTTTCTATATCAACTTATCCCAAATCCCATATAACAATATCCTTGGACACTCAAGCATACACCACCTCCTAGAATTTAGCTCACATAAAGTACAAATTATTTACGTCCAGTTGATCAACACATGAGTGAAGACAATGACTCAATGAGTAAGGATTTATTAATCATAAAACAAGTAGTAAAGAACCAAGTCAGTACTCAAGTTTCACTTACCAATCAATGACGATCGCAAGTTTAGCACAAACAAAATTGTGTTTTAATGATTGTAATCATTTATTTAATCAACTAAAGGATAGGTAATAGTATTATTGGTAGAATAAGCATCTACCTTCTCCATAATATAATCATTCTGTCCGAAGAGATGTAAGCTCCAAGAAGAACTATTAGATGATTTAATCATATTTGAGTTTTTTTCAACAAATCCAAGTCATTTACAACTGTTCGAAGCAATCACCTTATGTGAGCTGAGCTAAGTAGCTATGTGATATCAGGTGTGTGTTCAACAGGTTCGAATGTGAGAAACAAAAAAAAAATGACATTAACCCAATCATTCTTTTTTTACTTCCTCAACAAATGATTTTTACTTCCTCAACAAATGAATACCGCACCAGTTGTCTTTGTTCTTTCAGCAATCCAGCAAATATACACGAGATACAGAAAGCATAAGAATGAAATCAAGGAAGTGAATCAGAGGACTTACACACTGGCATCTTCCCTCCCAAGAAGTTTGACAGGAGTTCCAGATCGGGGAGACATGAGCGGAGAAGCAGAGAGCTCATCGGGGCCCAGGATCTTACCCGGCCACCACGACCCATTCCGCCTCCGAACCCAAACGATGGTCCCAACACCACAATCAACCATGCCTGTTTCTGCGTCAGAGCTCTCCATCTCTTCCTTCTCTTTAAAACTTATTATCTTCCCTTTTCTATACAGAATAATGTATATATAGTGTAGTTTTTAAACTCCCCAACTGATTGTAAACCTAAAACAAATTGCTTAGTCTCTTCGAGACCAATAAAACAACGGAGAGATTAAAGTTCGCCTCCAGAGAAGAAGAGAGAAAAATGTTGATATGGATAAAGGATCCAAAGACGGGCACATTTGGAAGATTCACGGAGGGGGGTATGTTTTAGGGTTAGGGCTTCCATTCAAATTAGGGAAAATTTCAGAGGGGTTTTTTGGAAACAGAATTCGCATTAGATCAACAGATGCGTGATTCAATTTCTCTTTTTGCAAGCTATTGGATGTGCATGTGTCCTTGTCTGTGTGGAGGTAGAATGAGACTCGTTGGTGTTAACTCGCTGATTCAACTGAGACAACTGAGACTCGTTGCAAGCTACCACATCTGCAAGCAAGAGAAGAGATTACCTGTAAACTATAATAAAAAGTTGAGAAATTAAATATACTAAAATATGATTGTATTAAATTAATTATATATACTAAAATACGATTGTATTAAAATACAAGTGTCATTTAATAGGTTATAAAGATTTGTAAAAGAGAAGTGATTCGTACACAACAGTTTATTGTCATACACAACAATTCATGCATTATATAGTTATACAATACAGTATTTTAAAGCACCAATTGTTGTGTATGGAAAAAAATTGTTGTGTACGGATCAGTAAAAACAAAAAGTTGGTAAGAGGATATTTAGTAAAGAAATTAAATATTCTTCTATTTTTGTTCCTACAAATATTTCTATCCAATTAAATGATGATAATGATCATTAAATATGACACAAATCATCATTTAATTAGATAAGATGATTTATAAAAACAAAAAGTATAGGGATATTTAATTTCTTTAAGAAGTTTGTTTTTTATGAAAGAATTTTGTATATGCCCTTACTAAACGTCTAAATATCGTATTTACCCGAGCTAAATTGTAAATATCATATTTGTGTTTCTTATCCTTTTAAAATATCGGATTTGCTCCGATCTATTTTTTTAATAGTTTTAGTATTTAATAATAACTTTTTATGTTTTAAAATCATCAAAATTGAAAATAAAAACAGGATGGATGATTTTGCCCTTAACTCCTGAAACGCAGGAAATCTTCACAATTTTATGTTATTCTCTTCTTTCCTAGGACCGTCACTGTTGAGACTCGTTGTCTTCCATTTTTCCTCTTGACACATTCCTTATTTTGGTCGTTATGTCATTCCTTATTTGCCCTTCTTTTTGGTAACATAATGAAACATAAGAAAAGTATTATTCTAGGGGAAACTGATTTGAGTGTGATTATAGAGGCAAATAAGGAATGTGGTGAGCGATAAAAGGGAAGACAGCGAGACTAAACAATGACGATCGTGGGGAATAAGGGCAAAGCATAGAATGTGAAGATTTACTGTGTTTTAGGAGTAAAGGGCAAAACTGTCCATTTTGTTTTTTTTTTTCAATTTTAAAGATATTAAAATATAAAAAATGATTATTAAATATTAAAAACTATTAATAAATAAGTTTGGATAAATCCGATATTTAAAGAGATTAAGAAGGGCAAATATGATATTTAAAGTTTAGCGATATTTAGACATTTAACAAGGGCATATACAAAATTCTCCGTTTTTAATGTCGGCAAACTACTGAAACAATTAAACATACAATAGTTAAAAGTTATTCTAAATCAAAATTTTATTTAGTTTTAATCATATGCAAATCGAATATAAATATCATTGTGATATAATTTTTTAAGACGTTTATATAAAATAATTAAACATAATAATTGCTAAATAACAAAAGATAAAATCATTAATTTAACAAATAATATGTTCATTTTGTTAAATTTTCCAAGACAATGGTTATTTATTCGTTGAGTTTAATTTTATAATTTATTAATATTTTGTTATAGGCAATATAACACAAACAAATATTTATATGAAATTTACCAAACAGTTATAAACTATGTAAAATATACTTGAATTGTTATAATATCCTTCATAATATTATTAAAATAATAAACATGTTGTTGAAAAAACAAAAACAAATATATGTTGAATAATATAACTTAAAATAAAGTGGAAAATGGTTTAAAGAGGAGTGTCCAGTGATGCATCATGCAACATACGCAATAGTTTTTAAGTCAGAAGTCTTTTAGAAAACAAACAGTTACGAAAGGTTAAGTGTTACGTGTGTTTTGTGTGGCGCAGCCAAAAGTAGTTAGAAATGGTTTTTTTAGGAAAACAAACATACCCTTAGCCGCTGTGTTTGATTAATCCTTATCAGATACACATTAGTATTTCCTTTTACTTTTACCTATTAACGCATTATTGTTAGTACCTGAAAGTGAACCTCTAGCAATCACACAATAAATTTCCGAGATCAGTCTTAGTTTCGAAGTAGAAAATGTTTTGGAGTCAGTTTGTGATTAGAAGTGGAGTTGGGGTCAGGAGTAAAAGCTTGTGGTGCGAAGTAAAGGAAGTCCGAAATGAAGAAGATGTTCAGAAATGATGTATCCGTCTGTATTAATTTATCTTGTCATTTTGTCTGATGTAACTAGTTATAATGACTTAGTCTCTTCTGTCAACTTGGATAATCAGAGTGTCAGAAACAACTCTTTTATCCGGTCCTATGTATGTTTATGAGTTTGTACGATGTAACCTTTTCACCTATTTATGGTGCGCTTTATGACAAGAATATCAGACGGATTGTTTCTCTAAATATAGTATTGCTTGAAGTTATTTCTCTTACACCTCTCTTCCAAATCAATTCTTAAAAACATTCTTCTTGTTCATTTATTGTCCTTACTCTTATCATTCTCTTCATTCTTCATTTATGGTTTGAACACTCTGTTGAATCTCTTACCTCAGACTTGACTGGTTTACCATACTTGACTGGAACCTTCATTTAGTAGCAGACATTGATCTTAAGCATTAATTCAAGGTTTGAGTTTTTGAACCTTGTCCCTGTGCAATCAGATCCTTTGTCATCATAATTGGTATCAGAGCTTGAGTGGTTGCCCTTTGAGTCCAAAAGATCAAATTATAGTTGATTTGAAATTACCTTGGTATTTCAATCATTTATGTGTTCGGGATAAAAGTTCTTCTATATACCAGTTTAGCTTGAGATATCTTAACTTCAATGGCTGCTTCTAATACTAAAAAAATGTATTCAATGCAAATAGAAAATAGCGTGGGTTGCCCTACTCGTGCCCCACTACTAGTTGTTGAAAAATATGATCATTGGAAAGTTAGAATGGAAAGGTTTTTATTGGGTAAGGAGAAAGGTGAAGTTATATGGAGATTCGTTAAAGAAGGTCCTCATGTTCTAGTTCGAACTATTGTTAGAGATGTTGCTGCAACTCTCATGGGACAGGATGAACAACGTCAAGCATCGCTCACTGCTAATGATCTTAAAAAGATGCATGCAAATCAAGTTGCTTTTTCCGAAAGGGTGTTTGGTGTTCCACCTTCTCTCTTTGAGCACATTAAACTATGTAAATTGGCAAAAGAGATTTGGCACACACTTCGATATTTGTTCAAAGGTTCAGAGAACATGAAGGATAAAGCGTTTAACCTCGGTTGTCAATGAGTTCAAAACTTTCACTACAACACCTGGTGAATCTGTTGCCTCAGGCTCAAATAGATACTGAATCATCGTCAACAACATGACAGCTCATGGGATAGTCTGAACCCCACTTGAGTACAACCTTAAGTTCATCAATAGCCTCGGAAAAGGGTGGGGAAATGTGAAATCATGTCTTCAGAGTAATGGATATCTGAAGAATTTGAAACTCTACCAACTCTTTGACGAACTTCAAGGTCATGAATCAAATGTTGCACAAACCATGTGTGAGCTCACTAGAGGCCCTCTAGCTCTAGTCGGTTCCTACGATCCACAAACTCCGAACCCTACTGTTCCGGACCCTCTCTCTACTATTGTTCCATATAACCCTCACACCAACCATACATGCTCCCACCACCAACTACCAATCAACTTGTGACCTTATTTCGGAAGACATGGACTCCGAACTTCTTTTCCAATAAGAGTTTGCCTTACTTTCCATGAAATACAACCGTCCTTTCAACAAGCCATACAACAATCGTTTCCAAGCTTCTCACCAAAACAACTGTTTTCAGGCACCTCACCAAAACAATCCTCAACCGTTCAACAAACCTTCAGAAAATCCTCCTTCCTACAAACCTAACCTTCCCTCACCAACTCTTACTTCAGAATCTTCACAGACTCCCAAGTCCGAAAAACCCAAGATCATAAACATGGACATGCAAACCATTTTGCCAAAGATTGCTTAGATGAAGTCCCACAGAAACCCAAGGTCAAGGACTTTGCTTACTATGCACGACGAGCTCAAGAAATGGCAGAAAGTGAAAAGGCTTTTGTCACCACTATATCAAAGGATGTAGAAGGGTATTAGTCGTCTGGAGATGATGATCATTTAATCACCGGTAGAAACATGTCTTATGGCTCGACAACAAATTGAATGTAATGAAGGCTACTGGTCATCTGGGTCAGAAAGAGATGATGAAGATGCAGAACCAAACTACTGCTACATGGCTACCAACGATCCTCCTGGCAGAAGCATCATCAACAGGTAAAATCTATGATCACTGATAATACTTTTGATTTATCTCTTTGTGAACCATAACTAACCCAGATCCAATCATACATGAACATCATTTACAAAGCCTATGAGTCAGCCATAAAAGCCAGTGAGAAGAAGGATTGTGAACTAAGTCGTCTTAGATTACATTTTGAGGATAAGAAGTTGAAAACAGAGTCTTTAGAACGAGAGCTTGTAATGGAAAAAGATGAATGTATTCATTCTTAAAGACAAGTGTGAAATCATTTATTCTGAAAGAAATGTTTGATTTCTAACAACAAACGTCTTAATGCTAAAATAGATGCTTTACATAATTCCATTGACATTATTGAGGAAAATGAATGGATGACTCACAATTTTCGTCATCCTTGGTCAAAAGCTCGTGATCTCGGAAGCGAGTTTCTGAAACCAATTGTCAGTCCCTTAAGGGAGTTACAAAATCTAAGTTTTATGGGAGACATTCCGAACATTAAACATTCAAATACCACTGTCTCACCATTGTCACCCCTTCCTGAGACTTCTGACCAATTTGCATCTCTAATTCCTGAGTTTAAGCCCATAGTTGTCAAATGTCCCGATTCCACGCCTCTTCCGCCTCTGACAAACCTGGACCAAAATCAAACCTCGGAACCTCACTCTAGTAACCCAGTTGCGGTTGTTCAAATTCTGAACCACTTTCCTCCTAATAATTGTGTTGTTGAGGAAATTATTTCGGAGACAACTGGACCTGAATTCTCTGAGTTTGTTTAGGCATCTTTAGAAAGTGATGTTGATAATTCATTTGATTCATGTGAATCTGACTTACAAGTAGTCTCCAAAACCAAACTTGTGC